AGCATCCATGGGAAAGCTACAGGAATCTGCGCATTTGTGAATTACACAGGTCGCTTCATCATCTACTGATTTTTGTCGGACCTTAACCGCGCTTTGTACACTGTTAACATTCTCTTAATCTCTGTGTCAACATTTATTACCCCCCCCCAAAAAGGAGAGTGATTCAAAGAAGACCTGCGCACGTTTTCTTTTTTAAACTGTGCTACCCTGCCGTCTTATATGTTCTCTCTCTTTTTCAATACGATGTGATACTGTGCAAACTAAACAAGGAGAAATGTTGCACAGAAAAAAAATAATTCAGGGCATTAGGCGCAAACTGTAGGCAGACAAACAGTCTGGACGGGATGGAAAAAGTAGGTGTAAATAGGTTTTGTTACAAAAACGTGGCCCGTGGAATTACAAAATATATAAGAAAATTACATATATTATAAAGTTCTCATCTTCAAAAGAAGCAGGACAATTGTAGATACAATATATTATTGAGACACTCCCTTTTTAGTTTGAGAGGAATATTAGAATTAAACTTTAAATCTTCTATTTCTAGTGATCCTGAATTTTAAAACGCTGATTTTCCAAATGGTTCTGAATATTTTGAAGAGCCTTGATCGGGTGTCAGAGAAGAAAAGCTTTTTATTAGATTCTAAAAATTAACGTATACACACACACACACACACAACACCCCTTCCTCCCCAGCTGAATCGAAATCCATCTAGAGCAGGGCAAAAACTCCCACAAGCTTTCTTTTCCATTAGGAGAATTTGGGGAGATTTATCGTTCTAGGCTTTGTCTGGGTGGATTTCAAGGTTCTTCCCAAACTCACAAATCTGGGCTTCAGAAGATTTTGGTGGTGCGCTGAGGCCTTTGAGAGCCGGGGGTGGGGGAGTGGGCAGGGAGAAGTCTTTTAAACCAGAAAAGTTTCCCTGTTACAATCTGATCCTTACGGTGGGGGGCGGGGCGGGGTAAGGGGAGACCTTGTGGAAGGGGCGGGGGGTGGCAAAGGCAAAGCCCGAAATACAAAGCCGAAGAAGCCAGCCCCAACGGTCTCTAGTTTTGTAGGCTTAGCGCCTGCGTCCTGCACTGAAAACCCTTGCGCTTCGCTGCGAAGAACGTGAAAAGGGAAAGTCACTTTTATTTCCTCAAAATTAATTCTGGCGCCTCCGAAGACTGTGAGAAGCCCCATTCCAGGACTGACTTTTAGGGTGGGGAGGAGTGGAATTGCAAAAAAAAAAAAAAAAGATTGAGAGACCCTTTTCTCTTTCAAGCAACAGGTTGTGTTTTAATCTCCTCTCGGTCTCTTTTCAGCGCTGCTTTTCCTTCCTTCGCCTTGGTTGTTAAGATGGAAATTAAAGTTCTTCAAATGTTCAGAATCGCTCTGAGGCCCGGGAAAATGGGGTGGGCGAAGCAACTCTTCCCAACTCCTCCCTTCACCACCTACACGACCCAGCCAGGTTCCTAGCTGTCCTTTACCCAGGCTGTTCCTTAATGTCCCCTCGCCACTTTCACAGGCCAATGCAGACTGAAGTGGTTACAGAGCGCGGCGGCCGAAGGTGGTTACTTCTCAGTTAAATTCAAATGCTTCCTTTGCCCGTTTACCCCGTAGTGAATGTCTGCCTCACTTTTTTAACGCACAACTCTTTCTTAACGCATTCCTCTCCGAGACTTTCCGCAGTTATTCGGTGATAAATAGTTGAGATTTCTGCAGAACCTAGGTACCCATCTGCCTGAGCTGGCCTTTAGCTCAGCCTGATTACTCCGGAGTAATTCCGGTGGGCTTCCAGGGAGTGCCTTCCAAGGACGTAGACTTGGAAGTCGTCGGTAGATGTGAAACTGGTCTTGTAGATCGTTCCGGAATGGTCCACATGACACATTCTTGGGAAGGGGGTAGCGGGGCTTCTTCTGCCCTTGTTTGCTCGGCAGCAAACGCCTAATCCTTTGGTGGAAGGATTAGAACCAAAGGCCTCGCTTCCTACCTGTGCGGGATCCTCCCGATCTTTCAATCCCCACGCACCCTCCTCTTTCCCTCTTATGTCACTCTTCCTTCATTTGGATCTGCAGCGTTCCTCTCCAAAGGGAATAATCTCACGCTTTTTCCTTTCTGGTGCAATTCACAAGGCCTCTCCCTCCTCCTCTCCCGTCCCCCCCCCCCCCCCATTCCCCCTACTCAGCCTTGTCTCATCAACCGCAGTTGATCCCAACCACATCCCAACTTCAGATATGTTTACTCGAAAGTGAAGTGAGAGTTCATTAGGGCTTACTTTTCAGCGTCTAAGGGTACCCAGCAAGGCTCCAGAAATCAACAGTTAATTCCATATCCATCTAAGGGGAAACCGCCCGCCCTCGGAGGGAGTCCCACTGATTTCAGCGTGCCAGCAGGACAAACGCTGACTGAGCGGTCTAAGCGGGGCATTCAAATCAACCCATCCCCAAGGATTGTGCGGAAGGTTTGTGACTGTTCCCTTATCATTATCCTAAATCTCCGAATATTTATTGGCATTTATTATATTGTAATGATGCAACTTTGCTCTGATTCCGAACGTGTTCCGAGGGCTGAAGATGAGCGCGTAGTGACCTGCAGGCTGAAGAAACGGTTCTGCGTAAACAGCCACTGGGTAGGACTGTGAAGCTGCAGGCGTCTGTTCATCCTAATTTAGGGCTAAATCAGCGAGACTCAAAGAAAAGGACGGAATTGTGAAGCACCTAATTATGCATACAGGAATCATAGAAATCAGTAGGATTTCTGAAGGCAGCCAGCCCAGGTGTAAGCCTGCCAAAAATGAAGTATTGGCTTAACTATGCCATTTGTAAATAAATGGGACTGGCGAAAAAAGCTTGTTAATTCGGAGTTGTATCCATGAATTATTTCCATAGAATTGTGTTACTTCTAAATTATTTTTAAATTAACTGATCTGACTTCTAGCTAGGGATAACGTTATTGGAGATAGCATCCTTAATTGTCCAAAGTAAAGGTTACTTCTGAATAGACCTATGTGTCCGGAAGCTGTTTGTTACGTCCGAAGAACACTTATTTATGGATGAGCCTCACAAAATGCATTTTCTTGGTAGCAACTCTTAGGGACTTCTATGCCAGTCGAATCGGAAGTATGCATGTTTACAGTCCTATTGCCTCGTAATTCGCGTGCAGGTAAAATTCCCTTGGGATGGACCTTACTCCCAGGAAAGTGTGAGCGTTGCAGCCTTCTGCTTAATAGCTCTCCGGGAGGCGACGGCAACCGAGCAGCAGGAAGAGGGGGGCGAGTGAGAGGTAGATGGCTTGTGGTTGGGAATGCGTGCGCGCGTGCGTTGGGGGGGGGAGAGAATGAGATTTCACTTTCTCTTTGGCGCTCACTTTCTCTCCGGCCCTTCACTCCCACTCCCCGTTCCCGCTCCTCAGCGCGTGCTGCCTTTGCCATTGGGGGCGGGAGCGACGGTAACAGCCCTGCCTCCTTTCGCCGTTCTCCGATCGATGCCCCGGCCACTCTCTGATGTTGCGCGAAGGGAAATGCTTTGAATACTTACGACATGGCCGCTCATATTGATTTGCAAGATTGACAGGAGTAAAGCGGCGCCTTCACTTGTGTGCCTTGTGTGTGCGCGCAGGGGGGGGGGAGGAGGGACGGCGCGCAGGGGCGGGAGGCGGCCAAGTGGGGGAAGCCAAGCCCAACAGCAAATAATAATGACTCTCCGATTGTAATTAAATCTCCAGGCAACCCGTCAGCAAACTTATCCCGAAGATCTGATTTTTGCAACATGACCATGGCCTGGAGAACCATCAGCAGCGGCCCGTTGCGCTCGCTTCTTTCGCTAGTATAGTGTATTATTTTGCCGTTTATTCACGCTGCCCTGTTCCTTACCTCCCATCACTGCACAATTGTTGTTTTTTAAAAAGAAGACTCCAAGGCTTTTTTTTTTTTTAGATCGACATACTGGATCTCGAAGAAGGTAATTTGGCAGGAAACCCAGGCAGCGCTTATTGTATTGTTAAGACCTGTTGTTGACTGGAGTTGCGAGTGCATGTGCGTGCGTAAGGTGTAAGGTGCGTGTGTGTGTGTGTGTGTGTGTGTGTGAACAGCTTGGGTTTGGTGTGGATCTCTCAGTCCTGCTGTAAGAGGGTCTTCCAGGCTTCATGGGTGTCGACTTATACGAGAGAATACGGTACTCTCTCGCGCTGTCTTTAAGGGCTGGTTAGTTGCAATTGACCAAGGCAGCCGCCGCGACAACAGCCGCCGCGTCCGGAGGTAGCTTGTGAAGTTAAGAGATTTCTGAATGACTCCCCGGCACGGTTCCTTACTCCTAGGCTTTTTGGGGAGGGTTGCCTTGGTGGCGGCGATGGGGATGGGAAGGGAAACAGCAGACTGACGAAGAAAGTCCTTGCGCTGCTAATCTGGGGTGAGTTTTCAGAAAAGATCCCATGTCTAGGTAAAGACCCCGCTCCTCTGCAATCCTGCAATCACAACAATGCTGCTCCTTTCCTCCTCTCCCTGTCTCTGTCTCTTCACACCCCCCCCCCGTTCCTTTCCCTTCCGCCCTCCAAGTGGCGTCTATTTTAAAACGTAGTGACAGATCCATGTTGTATTTTAAGATCACCCGCTGCCTGCCTGCGAACACATGGCGCTCGAGAGAGATTGTGCGTAAGAGAGATACTAGCACAGGCAGGCGAGGGAACAAGAGAAGAAAAATAAAACCCTAACATCAAGTTTGGGGAACACAAAGCGGCTGTCATTCCTCTAAGAGGCGCCTGCCCTCGCCCGCAAAGCTAGTAGGAATGGGGGAATGAGGAGGTGTGCGAGCGCCTTGAATCCCGTCCGCTAACTTTGAGGTGGGTAAACTTGTCAAGAAGTTCGGCGCTAGCGTGCTTTATATAGCTGCCGAGAGATCTTTAAGAAAGAAGGGAGGGATCGGGGCAATGCTGCGTTTGGCCACGGAGGGGCAGCATATCGAGGAGTTGCTGCGTCCGTGGCGTCTTATCTCTCTGCAGGCAGAGGCTAGGATAAAGTTATACCGAAAACTTTAAAATTGATATCACACCCTAATTTGTGTTCTACAGGGAGGGGGAGAAAAAAAAAAACAGAGCTCAAAAACACACCGGGCTCTGCTTACACCATGAGAAGGGGAGCTCTTGGCGGCGTCGTGGGCTCGCCCTACATTCAGCGGGGGATTTCGTGCTGTGTCTTAGCTCTTGCCGGAGGTCATGCAAATCGACCTTAAAAGAATGCATAAGCCATAAATTAAAATAAACCCTGTAGCCACGGACTGATCCGTAAGTAGACAACAATACCTAACCTGGACAAAACGGCTTTCCTTGCCAGCTGGAAGAAAAGGATAGCGCCTAAAGTAATCGTAAAGTAAGTTCCCAGGAAGTCTTGTTTTTTCCCTCTTTCTCTTCTTTCTGGGGCTTCGTTGTTGTTGTTGTTTTCTGTTACCTTTTTGTGCAACCCTAGCCGCAAGGAGGCCGCCCGTGGGGCTGTAATTTCAAACGGGCTTGCAGAAGGGGGAGTGCGGCAAGGTGTCTGGGGCTGAGCTGCTCGCCCCCTTTTCCCTCAAAAGTGCTGCTGCTGCTGCTGCTGCTGCTCGGAGATGGTCCCGTTTTTAGTTGCGTTGTGTAAGATGTGCTGATAGGAAGATAGTCCAGCGTTTGGCTGTTTTGTGTAATTCTGTCGGGTCCCATTTACGTGCTGTTCTTCGGGGACTGTCTGTGGAGTTTAAACCTGCGATGCCTTTAGTTGAGTTGCGCCCCCCCCCGCCCCCGCATTGTTCTGGAAAAAGACACGAACGCGTACGTGAATTTCAGATTCTTTGCCCGAAGTAGTGAAACCAAAGCTGTTCTGTGAGACGGGGTATACCAAGAGCTGGGTGCGCGTTTGTGTGTGTGAGCGTGGGATTGAAGACGTCGGTCCGCTTTGGCACCGCATACACACGACACACCCGCAGCTTGCACGTGAATAATTTAAGCCGCTTTCGGCTGCGAGGAGCTCCGCAGCGCTTCGGCGTCCCCGCTGCCGCTCCGGGGCCTTGGATCCGTCTTGCCACCAGAATCACTTGCGAGGAGCGCGCGCGCCTGGGCCAAGCAGGCCCTGGGGCTCAATCAGAGGCACCGGTCATCTTGATTTGATTCATTGCCGCTGCCTTCGCAAGGGGCTCGTTTCCTGGGTGTTTTTAAGGACGGCGAGAGAGAAGGGGCAAATGTCGAAAAGGCAACGGAGCGTTGTTGTGTCTGGGTGTCAGGGAGAGCTTGCCCGGGCTTGGGAGCCTGCGGATAGGAGATTAGTTGTAGCCTCCAGGGTGTTTCCCCCAAAACACAGACAGGGAAACTTTCTGAGATAAACAAGCCTCTTTCGCTCTGTTGTTATGCAGATTAGGAAAACGTTTTGCGTGTGGGTTTCTTTTTAATAGCCCGCTGACGTATGATGGACAAGTTTGGACCTAATTTTAATTTTGGGGGGGAGGAGAAGGAAAAGGGATTCATTTAAAAATACTGTAAACTTTCACTATGATTTGCCTGAAAAGAATGGGCACCTCAGGACAAAACAGAGTATTTAATCTTTTGCTAAATCGTAAAGGAACGTGAAGAGGAGGTGGGGGGAGGGAGGGAGAGAGAAGGGGTAGTAACATGCACATACACACACTTTTTTACAACTAGACTGCACTTGTACTGAAACCTTTGCATGCTCACCCGCTGGCCCTGCCATAAAGCAGAGCATTTTTAAAATGGACCCTGAATAGGACGCACAACTCAAACTTTTGTTACCCCAAAGGTATGAATTAGAATGGGGTTTTTTTTTTTATGCCTTTGTCTTCTGTATGTGCATCTCTCTTTTATCATAGTGCCTGTACCTTCCTTAAAAATAAATTCGAGTTGCCTCCCCCCCTCCCTTCAAATGTATTTTTAGGGAGGTACGTATAGGAAGGAAAATAATTAGGTTACTTGGATTTCGTTTGCAGCTCAGAGTAGCTTGACACCTGGCAGAGAACTCCTGAAGCGTTTTCTTTAAACTCTGCCTCCTTCTCCTCAACTGCGTTTCTTATAATACATTCTTGTGTTAAGTGAGAAAGACTATTTGTAAAACAATCTCTTGGCTAGTTCCAGTGTTGGGTGAAGCTGATCCTGTAATGGCATTTTGTTTTGAACAGTTGCTGTAGTTGAAGTTCCCTCATAAGGTAAGGTGGCACTGGCTCTGAAAGGAGGTCCAAATGCCACATTTATAATTAGACTGCCAATTCAGCACATTGTATCCACTGCTATACAGGGATATACTGCTGTGCCTGGCTTCTCTCAATAGCCTGTACTAAGAATTAGCCAATTCAACTACTTCGACTTTGGAATCAAATTTAGAATGGGCACTGAGAGAAGGGAAGGAACCCGATCACAGCCCCTCTTTCTTTCTCAGCGTCTGTTAAAAGCCAAAGAATAGCAGGAAGGCAACCCATGCAATGTAGCTGGAATTCATACATCACATGCAAGTGGGGCAAGAGGCTCCCCCCCCCCACTTCTGAAGTATTTCGAAGGAGAGAACTCAGAGAAAAATATATCTGTAGCTTTCAGATGCGTGTGTGTGTGTAGGACATCCAGAGAACTGGATAGTTACACCTGCGCTTAGATCTGAACCCAGGCCTCTAGAGAAAACTCTCGGGAAAAATCTTAAGCCATTCTTGGGGACGGAAGGAACGCCTGCTTGCAGAGAGGAGCGGCCACCGCCGGCCGCCGTGAACTCTCTGGGCCACAGTAGCAACCCCCGTTGCCGCCTCAGCCTGGGAGTGGGGGGCTGGTTTGACACCCTTCCGCCGAGGGAGAGGGAAGGGGATGGGGGGGCAAGGTCATTTGCATTCGTAGGCCTTTCTCTCCAATCGGTGACTTTCTAACGTCTCAGGAAGGAAGGAGCGGAGCTTTAGGGTTAGCGGGGAGCCTTGCACGCGGGGCGGGAGAAAAAAAGGCCAGGGGAAGGGGGCTCAAATCCCGCTATATTCTAGCCGCAGCGAGTGATTTGCAACTTGCAAGGGGGAGGGCAGGCTGTGGCTGAAGCGCGCGCTCTGCAGAACTGTCTGCTCCCTTGAGAAGGTGCGTGCGTGTGTGTGTGTTGAGGTGGGATGATGAGAAGGCCCCCAGGAGGTTTAGCGGCCTTTCTGCAAAGTTTTCCCTCCCCCAGATGGTTCGGCGGCAGCTGGAGCAGAGCGGAGAGAAGCGCCTAAGTGGGCCAACAGGGAAGAACACGCGCCGTTGCGCCTCCTTCTCGCCAGCATCCGCTGAGCACTAGCGACGAGGCGGCGTGTTGGGGTTGCTTGCTCCAGCGGGCTGGCCGCGCGTGATCGCCTTTCACGCTCATTCTTACTTTTCCAGACTGGCTTGGCCGTAGTTGGGTGGTTGCCTCCCGCCCGGCGCTTGTATAGTTGCCACAAGTCGTTTACACAGCAGTAGTCCCGGGAACCTTAACACGACCACCCTGACGTAAGGTAACTTGTAGTGGCTGGTCTCCACCAGGGAATGCATCTCAAGAAATCTCAGTTGAATTGCGTGTGAACCATAGGAATGTGCAGGTACTGTGTTGCAGTATTACAGCGTGGGGTCATCTATACTGCAGACAGCAGTTCAATAATCTCTCTCCCCCAACATTTTGAGAATGTGTCAGCTACACAGACCACCATATTTTAGGAGTACATTCTTTTTGCTTGTTCTCTTGCGAATTTGATTCATCGTCTAAGCTGGTTGGAGTACTTTCTTTTGAAGACCAGGAGATAAATACTACCCAGGAAATTAATTCCATGTATTTTTCTCAACCCTACCCCTCTCGTCTCTTGCATGACTTTACTCAATAATTTAATGTGACACTAAATGTAAGTTCAACATCTACAGACTGGCATGTTAGGTAAGCAGAAGGAGTGTTTCCATAGGGTGTTTGGGATACAGCTAGCCTTGCAGTGGGGATCCTGTTGCATCTGTTCAGCCTGGATGTTGCACATTGGTCAGAATTCACCCCCCAAAGCCCATCTGAAGTACGCTTGTTTTAAGGTTCACGTAGATTCCGACCCACATAAGTGACTGCTGGGTTATATGTGCATGTTCCAGTTGATTCCTCCTTAAAATAAGAGCAAGCATTTTTTAAAAAAATACATACACGCATGAAGATAATTGCAGTAGATCATGCTGAGCTATTCACCTGAGGCGAAGCATAGATCTCTTTGGTTCAGACTTGCATACCTCCTATCCTAGTCCATTTTTGACCATGTCTATTTTAATGATTGGTTAATGGGCCAACCTGTTCCTGGAAAGAAAAATACAGGAATAAATGCATTTTTCATCCTTGTGATGGGAAGCCTATTAAAGAGATGGAGACTATATTTAATAACAAAGTAAATGTTTGGTTTTGATGAACACTGAAATGCTTTTTCAGTCATAACCTTATTAAGTTTCGGAAGTGCTTTTATTACCCTAAGAAATATCCATCAGCCTTTTAAAAATTGCTCTTATACTTCTGAAACATATATGGTCAAGAACTGAAAGATGACAAGCTTCTTATACATGTAATGTGTCTTGAATGAGAAGCAATGCGTTGTTTAAATATTTTATCACTCTCTGTATTATATATTCATACTGTGTTTCTGTCATGTATGTAGTGTGCTTGGAAGGTACTTTATGTGTGCATGTGTGTATACACACATATATATACAAACCAAGTTTCCACAGTATGTTTTTAATTTCTTAATTTTTTTTCTTATTAAATTGTTACTGTAAAATGGTAAAAGTAAAATTTGGCTAATGGAATTTATCATTGAATATCATGTGAATATGCTAGGATTGGAATTCAGTAGCAAAAACAGACTTTGAATTTTCAGAATGGCACTGGGATACTGAGGTGTTTTCTCCAATATAATAAGTTGAGTGTAATTTATTGGAAGATCAGCACTTCTTTAAAACATTATAAACTGACATCTCTTCAGACAGTGTTTGGATTCTAAAAATGTCTCTTCCTTTCCCCCTTTTCTACAGTATTGCAACAGGTTGCAACCAGAGAACAAGGTAAAAGTTCATTACCACACCCTAAATTTATTTATAATACACACACACACACACATATAGGTGTTGCTCATTGTATCCTTATTAACTGGTACAAAAGAATTCCTTTTTTTTTTTAAGAATTGTTCTTGTATTTTTGGATTGGAATAGATATTAAGTAAACATATATATTTGTGTAGTAGCTGTTTGCTACAGAAATGATGTGATCTATCAGTCCTAGAACTGGAGTTGGGTTATAAGCCTATTATGTCCAACAGCTGTGCAATCCTATCTGTATTTTCATAGATGTAAGCCATTCTGAGCTCGGAAGATTTACAGGACAATCCTATGCACGTA